TGTAAGAGTAAAATCCATCTTAAGAGTCTTGGTTTAGCATCCTTCTTAGTTAATAGATATCGGATAGCAGCATGGTCTGTGTAAATGATTATTTTCGCTCCAACTAGGTAAGAGCGGAATTTGTCAAGCGCAAAAACAACTGCTAGCAATTCTTTTTCTGTAGTAGCGTAGTTCATCTGGGCAGAATCTAAGATTCTACTGGCGTAGTAAATCGCATGAAGTTTATTTTCCTTTCTCTGGCCCAGAACTGCGCCTACAACATAGTCACTCGCATCGCACATGATTTCAAAAGGTAATCTCCAGTCAGGGGGTTGCACCCAAATCCCTTACCCCTCACACGCCCAGAATACTCAGGGATATTTAACACCCAACTCAGTATGCTCCCGCAATCCTCGTCCTCAGCTGGAGTTATACTCTGGGATAAAGTCTCCTGAAATATAGATAAAAGCATATATAAATATATTATACACTTTTGATCAGTTACTAACAAAACTAATGTTGTACTTACATATCGTTCAAACACTTGTTGAACTTCTTCCTGAACGACTCTATCTCTTCCCACACGGGCAGCCTTCCACACAACATGGTTCGGAAGAGATGTCGCGTCACTTTTCTCCTCTTCTATCTGCGCATTAAGACGGATAATAAACCATTCATATGCTATTATATATACTTACTAGTTTTGGTAACTATATCATATTAAAGCATTTATATATACTTACTATTTTTTGTTCTAAGCGTGCATATCCCAAACGCCCTTTTTTGTATGGATACGCGGGTTTTGATGCCCGTTGCCGATTAATGCCACTCACAACCTGAAAAAATAAGTTTAAGTCATATCAGAACTCTTGTGGAAGAAGTATATATACTATACATTATTCATGATAAGTTGTACTTACTAAAAATTCTTTGGTTCTTCGCTTCGCAACAAATGTCTCCCATTCTTCTTCCAAAATCAGATCAGCGTACTTCTTTGGACGCTCCGAGTCAACAAAGTTTCCATCAGAATCTTTGAGAAACTTGTTCGTTAAAAATGCTCTGAATCCCCTCAGTCGTTTACCGGCTAATTGAAGACAATATTTTCTTCTGCAATCATCAATATTAAAAGATCACTGCAAACAAATACACATACATATAACATGTTAGTATAATTAATTTAAAGATGCAACTGTCAACATAATTAAAAATAATCAAGTATCATACCTGTATCTCGCTCCAAATTTTGTTTAGCCGGTTTTAGCGACTCAATTCTCCAATTATCGCAAGTAATCGGAATTTGCGAACGTACAAGTGCTCCAATGTAACTTGTCAGCATCGCACCGTTAGGCTCAACTAATTGATCTCTTTCATTCCAATGCACATCATACTTAACACCCTTATCTCTTGCACGGATGATTTTTTTCATAATCGTTATTCCTCTTTTGATATCACCTTCAATGTCTTTTGTTGTTTCATTTCCATCATGTGGTGTTTCCTCATTGTTGGCCATAATACCTATAATTCAGAAAAACCAAAGTATCAAATGAATGACATACAAATATGTAAATAAGAAATATATACATAAGAAATGTATAAATAAGAGAAACACATACATAATTTTATTGAATGACATAATATGTAATTGTATTGCATGATAGAAATATGTAATTTTATTCAATGAGACAATATGTAATTTTACAAAAGCAATAAAAATTGAATTATATCCTTAAACTTAAAATGACACCCTTACTACTAGATAATCCACTTAAATTCTTAATGTCTTTATTGATTAAATTCAATTCTTTATGGTGTTTTAATATCTTTTTTTTTTGGCATGATGTGCTAGCCAATAACTCTCTTTGTGACTATCCACCCTCAACCTTGCCAAGCATATACACCAAAACAAAACTACAAATCATGTTCACTTCATCTCTCAAGCCTTCAACATATAAACCCATAATAACATATCATATTCACAAAAAACTAAACATTGAGAACTATACATTTTAGGTAAGGAATGAAAAAATGAAAGAATATTATATGCTAAAAAAATAGGACATTACATTGTTATGATATATTATGAGATGATTATAGCAATAGAGTTCAAATCCTAATCAAATATGGAAAGAGATCAAAAAATCTAACCAAATCAAGAAACAACCCTACATGAACATCTAAGGTACTCATAAATATTATATAGATATGACATTTTCACAAATATAAAGACATATTCTTACCCGCAATAAAAGGCAACCGGTTCAAAAAAGACAAAGACTTTCCAAATTGTTGAGTTCACCAATCAGCATCTGTAGAAAAATAATAACAATAGTAATATGATTGTTTTAAGAATTTATAATCTTTAAAAAAAAGTTCAAAGAAAGTCCAAAAACACAACACTTTCTTAGAACTGACAGAAAAAGTTGTGTTGGTTTTGCACAAATGAAGATCATCAATCTTGATGACCTCTTTCTTAGTACTAACAGAGTGACACAAACCATGAAATGAAAAATACAACACTTTGTTTATAAGTGACAGAGACAAGAACTGCATGGTAATAGTGTTTTTGGGTTCTTTTTTCAGAGATAAGTGTATTGATGAAATAGTTGCATCCAATAATGCATTCAACTATGAGAACAATGAAAATGGAAAATGAAAAACTTCAAATACCGAAAAATGGTGGAAATGCGCTGGTGGAGGACGGAGATGACCGTCAAAAATGGAAGGACGACGGCGGAATGAGGAGACGATTGAATGACCGGAGGAAAGACGACAGACGGAGGCTGTCGGACGGAGGCACGGAGGAATGCGTCAACGGAATGAATAGGGCACAGAGGAATGCGTTCGCGAGTGGAAAGAAGAAAGAAGAAGACTGTTCTGATTCTGCGAAAATACTGGGATATTTTAAATTTATGCTGCTTAAACCTATAGAAGCGCTTTTTAATGGCATTTAGCAGCGCTTTTGAAAGCGCTGCTATAGGTCTGCCTAAGGACCCCCCTTTAGCAGCGCTTTTGAAAGCGCTACTATAGGTCTGCCTAAGGACCCCCCTTTAGCAACGCTTTTTTGAAGCGCTTTCTTTGACTCCCCTTTAGCAGCGCTTTTGAAAGCGCTGCTATAGGTCTGCCTAAGGACCCCCCTTTAGCAACGCTTTTTTGAAGCGCTTTCTTTGACCCCCCTTTAGCAGCGCTTTTTGTACCCCTTTAGCAGCGCTTTTGAAAGCGCTGCTATAGGTCTGCCTAAGGACCCCCCCTTTAACAGCGCTTTTTTGAAGCGCTTTCTTTGACCCCCCCCTTTAGCAGCGCTTTTGAAAGCGCTGCCTATTCCCCCCTCCCCTCCCCCCTTTAGCAGCGCTTTTTTAATAAGCGCTGTCTTAGGTATACTATTTTTTTCTTTTTTTTTTATGACTCTTTAGCAGCGCTTTTTAAGAAAGCGTTGTCTTTTAGTGCGCTGCTAAATCTCATTTCTGGCGTAGTGCACAAGTTCAACCATGAATAAGGAACCCTAATTCTCCTTGATGTACATTGATAATGATGAAACGATTTAAATTGAGAAGAGATCAAACCCTGATTTACACCCATGAAAATCCTAATCCATCACCTTTGATGAATCCTCTAAATAGGAAAAACCCAATAGCCTGATGAACCTCTGAATAGAGAAAACCCAAATCACAAGAACTCTTGATCCCATGTCTTAGGAGCTCTATGAAATGCATGATTGTGAGTATTATGACCTAGTGGATATGCATATGAATGTGAAACAAAAGCTAGTTAAGATTAGAAAAAACATAGGACAAATTTTGGGGTGCAACAACTAACCCTAAAACTTTGGTATAAAAGCCTAACGAAGACCCTATATTAAAATATACATTATTATAACCCTAAAATATCTAATTTTTCTACCATCACTGATTTACACATTGAAGTGTTCACAAGTACCCAATACCTCACCGCCAAAACAGAGTAGGAGGACATCAAGACCTTCAATTGAATTCACCATCAGATCTCAATTCATACCCCTTTTTGTGATATAGAAAGTGTTGGGAAAGTAGAAGAAAAAAAAAAACAAACCTCTACATATGCGGAAGCACACCTATAAAAATAGAAGTAAAAACAAAAAAAAAGAAAGAAAAAATTCAAAAAATACAACTCACAAATTTACCATAGATGAACACTTTTAAACCTACCTCCAAAATATCTCAACAAAAATATTTTATTTTATAATTTTTAAAAGGACAAAATTATAAATGATCTCATATATTGCAATTTTTACAAAAATAAGAAAACTGCAAAATATCTCCACTATGTTTTTTTGAATTTTTTTTTTTTATAAACTCTTATAATACACAACTACTAAAATCTCAGAGTTGTTGTGGTGAGAAAAACTCAAATTAACTCTTAATTTATATTAATACCCTACTTAATTTATCTTCCTTTTACTCGATGCCCAAGTCGGATAAATATCCACTTTGACCTAAGGTGCCTATCATAGAAATTATTAATTTTTATCAAAATTTATGTCTACATCTCTTAATTCATCCACTATTTTTTTCATAAGAAATAGAGATGATCATAACTATTGAAAGTGGGTCAAACGCGTCTTTATTTATTTGTGGATGAAAAAGAAAAGTCAATAAGAAAAACAGATAAGCAAAAGAAAAGGTCCATTGCCATTCCGCAAATTAAGCTTATAAATCTCTTGAATATGAAAAAGAACAACAACCTTTATATCTCACCAATACCCTCCACAAAACACTCTTGAACAATGTGTATACTTTTCAAAAAGCCAAGCAACTTGTAAGAAAAAACTATTCTAAACTTTGATTGTGCATGTCAAATTCATTCATGGACAAAATAAATTCACATCTTAAACACACCAAACACTTATTACTTATTAACTTTACAAAGAAGATTAAACAAACGATACTGAAAATAATTTAAAAAATTTATAACTTTGAACTTAATCACAGGTGTCGGTATGTAACATGAGCACAGATACGAACATATTTTTTCTTGAAGTGCATGTGTTACATAGGTTTAGAGTTAACAGTAGGAGGTGTGTTTGGACAATCCAAGAACTCAGAGTACATTTCCATGAAGAATTTATCAACAATTTCAACATATGAAGGACAAGTGAGTCTAGTATAGTAATGAAGAACCTCTTCAATATCTAATACATAATCCATATTATTCATCTCCAACATTTCCAATTCTTTCATCTTCTTTTCCACTATACTCTTAGAATTCAACATTGATGATGATGAATCTTGTTTCTTTCCTCTTTGATGACTTAACTTTCTCTTATTCTTTTTCTCCTCGAATTCCTTCTCCATCTCATTATGATTATGCAAATGCGTATGCACTTCTTCTTCTTTTTCTTCTTCTTCCTTTGTTGTTGAAGATGATATCATGACTTTGTTCTTGCTTCTTTTCTTTGTTTTTCCGTTTTCTGAATCCCATTTCTGAGTGAAGTCAGTGTAGAATTTTTCCAAGTCGTTGTAAGAGGAGTGATCATGGAGAGGTGTTTTTGGAATTTTTTGGTATGTTGGAGAGAATAATGATTTGAAGTTTGTTAGGGTTTTCTGGAAGAGTTTCTTGTATTTGGAAATGGAGGTTCTTAGAAGCATTGTGTGATGAGAATGGTGCAGAGAATTAACAGTGAGACAGAAGAGAAAGAAAGTGTGAAAATGTGTTTGTTTTTTGAGGTTGTACTTGTTTATATTAGAGATGATAGAAACATTGGAGCCATGAAAGATTCTTTGGTTTTTTTTCCTTTTGTGACATTGGATCTCATTTGCTTTATTGCTTTCTTTTGTTTTCACACGCTCCTTTTGCTTTCATTTTGCTTCCTTGTTAGGGACCCTACAAACCCTAATTTTCAAGTCATAATTTGGGATTGAATAGATAAATTGATTCCTTCTCTCCTAATTTTTATTCAAGTTAATGATTGCAAAAATTAAGCATACCATATTGCCACTGCTAGGTTTTATAAAGTAGCCTATACAGATTAAAGTTGCTAGAATTTTACTACTTTAGAAAGGCTTAAACTGAGATGGTCATTCATGAATTGATTTGTGTGTAAATGTATAGAGACATTTCAACTTAATAGAATGACACATTGTTTTTATTTGATTATAATAAGTTAATATAATAATGTATCAATTATGACATTATTTCTTGACTTTTCTAATTATATTCTTGATATTAAGGTGGTAAAATTGCTATAAATTCTATTGGTTTAACCCACTTTTTTAATGATACTAGTCAAATATCCGTGGGGCACATGGATAAATTTATTTGATACGGTAATTTTAAAATACATAATAATTATATAAATTTAATTGTATTAAAATACAAAAAAAATATAGAAAAATAAATATTTAATATTTAAAAGTATAGATATTCTCTTTTAAGTTAAGGTAATTGTAGATTAAAATAAAATATGTATTGTGCTAATAATGACATGTGAAATAGAATTTTTATTTGATACAATATAAAATGTATTTATTTACAAATGAAAATTTAAAATTAGTTACTTAATGATAAAATGAAAAATAATTATATAAACTCATTTCTATTAAATAATCATAAAAAAAAAAGAAAAAAAAAATAACTCGTGAGAAGAAAGAAAAAAAGAAATTTTGATATTTTGAAATAAGGATTTTGTCTTTCAAATCAAGGTAAATTGTTGATTAAAATAGATAGACATTGTGATGATAATAACCCGTGAGATCAAAAATTTATTTGATACGTTATGAAATGTATTTAGATACACATGTAAAATTTAAAATGATTTACTTAATTATAAAATGAACAATAATCATATAAATTTAATTGTACTAAATAATCATATAAAAAGAAAAAAAGAACTCTGAGATGGTTAAAGAAAAAAATTAATATTTAGAAATAAAATTTGTTTCTCTCAAATTAAGACAATGATGGATCAAAATAAAATAGATATTGTAGTCATAATAAATAAATAGAGAGGAAAAATTAAAATGAAAGTGAGAAAGTGTGGGAAAAAGAAATGTGAAAGATATTTAAAATTTTAAGAGAGGGAATGTGTATATGTCACATTTAATTGTGATTTAATTGGTGAATGTTTGAAAATGAATGACACATGTCATGCATGCTCGTATACGAGATGAGAATGTAAAAGATTAACATTAGTTTATTACTTAAATGTCCTTTTTTTAATGTAAATAATTTGTAGTGAAAGGGAAATTTAAAAAGTGCATACAATTAATTTTTAATGGGTTGATAGTTGATATGGATTAAAATTTGATGATTTCTTGTAACATTTCACTATAAGAAATATGAGATGTAGTTAGAAGATTTTAAATGGATTAAACCACCTCACAAAATATACGACATTGTTGAGATTAACTCTTCGCAAAGAAGAAAAAAACAAAATTATGAAGGGATACCTTCATGCAAAAGAGAAAAAGAAATAAGTGTACGAGGGGTCACCCCTCACAACTCATAAGGAGGGAAAACAAAAGATAGTTTTGAAAAATTATGACACTTTATTGAAAGAAAGTTTGTGAGGGGTAGCTCTAAGGTAAATGTTATATTTGCGTCAGTGAGAGAAACCCCTTCGTAAAGGAGCAAAAATTAAAAAACCCTTCGTAAAAGAGCAAAAATTAAAAATAAAATAAAAACATGTTTTTCCGTAGTTGTAGTTTTTTCAGTGAGTGGCTAGCATGGAAGGCTAGACAAAAAATTTGTGAGGGGTGGCCCCCAGCAAAATTTTGGCGTTATGAGGGGTTTAATCCTACCAAAAAAAGAGTTTGCATATATAACACTTATTTCTCTTTCTTCTTTGTTCGAAACTCAACAAATTTTTTCTTCTTTCACCATACTTTCTACAACTCTATTTTTCTCTTTCTTTTTAGTGTATATTTATGTTGTGAATTGATGTTGTCAAGAACAAAGCAAAAAATGAGAAAAAAATTTAAGTTTCTTGAACAAACATAAGAAACCCTATTAAATTTTACCAACAGGGAAAGAAGAAGGAAGAAGAATAGAGAATTGGTTAAATCTGTTTTTTTCTCAATAAGATAAAAAATTACAAGTAAGACTCAATTGGACATACTAACTTAAATTACAAGTTAATATATTTCGACAGTATGCTTGAACAGACTTCGACTACAACATGCATAACTTTTGTCGAAATATCAAGCTACCCTTGTCGACACTAGAGTTCGATCCAAAATACTACAAATCTCCACCTTAGAATAAACTCTACACAAACAAGGGAACAAACTAGCTTTCATCATCTCTAATCCTTCCAACACTTCTAACAAACATTCTTGAACAAGAAGAGATTGCATCTTCAAGCGCCACAAACCGAAATCATTCACACCGGTGAATGACTCAATCTCATACTTTGTTGATGACATCTTCTCCTCCACGCTCACCATACTAGTTTGTTGTGAATTGATGTCGTTACTAACAGAACAAAGTTATGAAAAAAATGATTTGAATTTCTTGAACAAACACAAGAAACCTTATTAGGTTTTACCAAAAGAGAGAGAAGAAAGAAGAAGAATAGAAAACTGGTTACATTTGTTTTTTATTCATTTTCTCAATAAGGGTTTAAAGATTACAAGTGAATACCAACAATTAACCTCTCTCATCCTAATTAGGATTTGCACCACACTCAAAGATGAGAGACCAACATGCTATTTATAAGAAAACTAACATGCTAACCTAATGGGCTTTTGCACACAGACCCATTACACAGGCTAACTTAGGGAACAAGCTAACTTAAACAATTGGGATCACAAGTAAGAGCCAATTTGACATACCAACTTAATTACAAGTTAATATATTTCGATATCATGTTTGAACAGACTTTGACTACAACATGCACAACTCTTGTCAAAATATCAAACTATCCTTATCGACACTAGAGTTCGATCCAAAATACCAAAATTTAAAAAAATTAAATTATTAATCTGGTAGAATATAAGTTAGTAAGTAAAAATTTTATAACAATATATTAGTTTAAATTACTAAAATTTTATTTCTGAAAGTACAGATATTAGACACAATGTTGGGATAGTTGGTACAACGTGGTTTATCAATATGACATTAGTGTATAATATTTTAAGTTATACGGTATGATGAAGCATAAAAGGAATAAAGAGAACACAAGAAATTGGTAACACAGTTCTGTGAAACCACACCTATGTCTTGGGACACTCTACCCAAGAAAGGAAAATCACTACTTTGAATTAAAATAATTAGTCTTAGAAAAATCCCAAATCCTATGAGGTTCTATGTCTCTCCCTAATCCTAGTGACTATTTCGGTATCCCTAAATATTAGAACCCACCACTTTCTTCAACCACTAACCCCTAGTGATAAACCTCAATAACAAGTCTATTGATTATTGAATTTACAACTCAACTAAGACAAACCAACAACTATGCCAAGTTTCTGAAACATAGAGTGTACACAAAGATTCAACACTAATCCTTATTATGACATTAGTGTAGAATACAAGAAACACTTTACTGTCAAGATCATAGGCTTAGTGTCTTGGAAAAAATCTTTACAACTTAATTAATAAGCCAAACTCAATGCCTTAAGGTATGAAAGGAGGCGCTAGAGTGGTGCGAAAAGATAACACAAACAAAGACTCAAAAGATAAGCCCTAACACTAGGCATCTTCAAAACGTGCACACACAAAAAGTGAGGTTTGAGTCTCCTTAAATAGAAATGCAATTTTGGATTTTTCTCCTTTGGATTTTTGATTTAATTTTGTCTAAAATAATAGCATACGTTATTGTTATGAATGTGGTAAGCAAGGTCACATTAAACCGGATTGTCCAAAACTTACGAAGAAAAATGGATTCAAAGGCAAGAAGGAGACAAAGAATAAGAAGGCTTATGTTGCGTGGGAAGACAACGACATAAGTTCATCATCCAAATCAGATAGCGACGAAAGTGCAAATTTGGCATTGATGGCTTCTCATCACTCTGACGACGAAAATGATGAGGTTAGTACTTCTTTTTCACTTTATGATAATGATGCTCAAGAGGCTATAAATGAACTCTTAAATGAATGCAAAGTTTTGTGTAAAACACATATCTTCACAAAAGAAACAAATATCATCTCTAGAAGAAAAAGTGAATACTATGGAAAAATATGAAAAGAATGAAAAGCAAAAGGTTATTGGTGAATAAAAACAAAACTTTGTATGTAAAAATTGTGAATCACTTTCTTTCCAAAATTTTCAACTTAAAAGAGTTCTAGAAAGATATGAAAAATGACAAATTGGTTTAGAAGGGGTCCTTAGTCAACAAAGATTTTCAAACGATAAAAGTGGACTTGGTTACTCTAATTTTTCTAAATCAAGTTCTAGCAAAACAATCTTTGTTAAGGCTAGTGACCAAATTTCTAAAGAGAAAGTGAGCAAGTCTAAAGTTGTGCATCGTCATCATAAAAAGAAAAAGGTTGTGAAAAATAAATATTTCGTTCCTAGATATAAATGTAATTTTGTACCTACTTGTTTTTATTGTGGTATTATTGGCCATACACCTAATGCATGCTATGTTAGAAACTTCAGTATAGCAAGCGGACATTATGTGTGGGTTAAGAAAGACACTAATTATGAAGG